GATACTAATTGGTCCCCTTAACATACTTCTCCAAACCTTGAAATCCTTCATTTTGATGTATATCTTGATTCTGTATTTCCATTATGGGAACCCTTCTGCAGATAACAATCGGGGAATGCGAGTGGTGGTTCCCATGATGGAATCCAGTTCATGATGCATTGCTGAGTTTTGTGAGTCCATTTTTTGTTTGAAGTTTTTGGCTTTTTAGAAATGAACAGATCGAAAACTTAACAGAAAAGATGCTTAAAAATAAGAAGTTTAATCTGCTAAATAGTTTGCGGCCGCACACTCAACCGTACACACTTACAACCGCACACACTCTCAACCGCACACACTTTCAACCACACACACTGTCGTACACACTTAGTCGTACACACTTAGCCTTACACACTTAGCCGTACACACGTAGCCGTACGCACTTAGCCGTACACACTTAGTCGTACACTCAGCCGCACACCTTCAACTGTTAACCGTACACCTTCAATCTTCAGTAGTACACCTTCAATCGAACTCAACCGTACACTTACAAAAATCCAAATTGACACTGATTAGGCTTTGATACCAATTGTAAGTCCCTAATTCTTAAGATCCAAATCAGTGATCAAATGATATTCAATAAATCAGAGTGTAGAATGAGTAGAAGATAGAATCAAACCAAGCATGCATACATTTATATCAGATAAATGTCAAATACACCTTGGAAAACACGTACATATGTCACCTAATACTGACACATACACCTACTATTTATAGCACACCCAGCAGCACACCAGTGTACAGCCACACACGCGTGTGCGGCCGCACACAGGGTGTACGGCCGCACACACATGTACGACCGCACACAACCACACAAAAGGTACAAACACCATAGCTAGCCCCAAGACCCTACCAAGACCTTTACAAGATAGATGCCTAGCCCAAACCACTATATTATGACCTATCAGTCTCTCGGGTATACACACCTTTGTTCATGGTTGGCATCAATGCCTCGCCCATCCCTACGTGCCTCTCCTATGCAGACTCATCTCCTCTTTTCAACTTCGTGTTTCCTCAAATAAGTTTCCTAATGTGTGTGAATCCTGTAAACTAGGAAAAAGTCATCGTTTACATCTCCCTGCTTCTCATATTACTTTTTCATCTCCTTTTGATTTAGTATATTCGGATGTTTGGGGATCTTCCCCATTATTTTCAATTAATGTAAATTGATATTTCTTGCTTTTTAATGATGATTTCACAAAATATTTTTGGATTTACTTTCAGTCAAATAAATCGCAGGTTTTCTCCATATTTTTCCAATTCAAACAAATGATTAAGACCTAATTTAACTGTGACATTTAGGCCCTGCAATATGATTGGGGTGGCGAATATTGAAATGTCTCATCCTTCCTTTAAACTCGTGACATTAACCATTGAGTTTCTTGTCCCTATACCTAAGAACAAAACGATGTTGTCGAACGACACAACCACATAATTATTGAAAAGGGCCTTACTCTTCGGTCTCAATCATCCCTACCTCGTATTTTTTGGGAACATGCTTTTAAAACTGCTACGTATCTTCACAATCGTACTATCACCCCAATCCTAAACTTTCGTTCACATTATCAAAACCTTTACAACAAATCTCCAGATTATATATTCCTCAAAACTTTTGGCTACATGTGTTACCCTTTCCTTCGTCCCTACAATTCTCACAAAATTGACTTTCGCTTACCCCCTGCATCTTTATTGGTTACTATACAACATACAAAGGATACCTATATGTCTATCAACCATTGTCTCTCATTTATGTCTCTCGACATGGTGTCTTTAATGAATCCATTTTCCCTATTTACCCTCCACATCCGACACCACGTCATCTGCTTCCTCATCCCTTCCTGATGTTACTTTCGACTTACTTACACTAGCTACCTCTATTTCACTTCTGCCGCCACCATCTAACCCATTTGTATCCATCACTCCCTTGTCTTCCACATCATCCTCCACTTCATCAACTTTCCCCACACTTCCTCCCTCCTCTACACATACTCCAACTCCTACTCCCCCTTATCAAACCTATACCATCAGCTTCCGTTCCAAACAACACTAGGCCTATACCTTTCACTACCGACTAATACCTCGTAAAATCCATACAATGGTCACAAGAGCTCGCACTAACTCCCTCAAACATAAAGTTTTTTCATACATCTCTATCCAACATGACTGACTATGAACCACTTCTCTTCTCCCAAGCCATTAAACATCCATGTTGGCAGCAAGCTATGCAATCCGAATACGAGGCTCTCATGAGAAATAACACATGGTCTATTATTTATTGTCTTACTAATGTCAATGTTATTGGTTGCAAGTGGATTTTTAGGATTAGAAGACGAGTTGATGGTAAAATAGAACGTCAAAAAACTCGTTTGGTGGCTCAAGGTTTCACTAAAAAAGCTAATGTGGATTACTTTGAGACATTCACCCCGATCGATAAACCAACGACCATTCGGCTTGTCCTTTCCATAACTATATCTTATGGATGGTCCATTCGACAATTTGTCATAAATAACGCCTTCCTAAATGGTAATCTACATGATGTGGTGTATATGAAACAACTATAAGGTTTTGAACACCCAAATCGGCCCAATCGCGTTTGTCGTCTCAACAAATAACTTTATGGGCTCAAACAGGCTCCAAGAGCATGGTTTAATAAACTCAAGAAATATCTCGTTGATTAAGGGTTTACAACATGTCAATATGATACTTCACTTTTCATCCACATTAGTCCCACAACCATCATTTACATATTGGTTTATGTCAATGATGTGGTTATCATAGGCATAAATGCAACAGAATTTCAAAACTTCATCCAACAACTACATAAAGTGTTTGCTCTTAAAGACCTAGGTCACTCACATAATTTCTTGGGTTTACAAATTATATATACATCTGCTGGTCTCGATCTATCTTAACAACACTACATGACATTCTTCAACGCAACCACATGACAAAATCTCACAATTTTCGACACCAGCTGACCCGAGCTCACGCCTATCACCAAATGGTGAACCTTTTCATGATCCAACCCTCTTCTATCAAATTGTGGGTTTGCTTCAATATGCTACAATTACTCGTCCCGGTATTGCCTTTCTAGTCAATAAGGTGTGTCAATTTATGTACTCTCCCACCTTTCAACATTGGCAAGCTACGAAGCGTATTCTTCGTTACCTCAAGGGCACCCCTCATCATTGTCTCCATTTTTACCTACTAAAGTGGATTCTTTACTTGCCTACTCGGATGTTAGATGAATTTCCAATCAAGAGGACAGGCGTTCCCAATACAAATATGCAATCTTTCATGGTTCCAATCTTATCAGTTGGACGTCCAAAAAACAAAGAGTTGAGGCACGATCAAGCACAGAGGCAGAATACCGTCTACTAGCATACACAACTACTAAATTATTGTGGCTCAAACAACTGATAAAGGAACTTCATTCTCCAGTTCTAAAGAAACTAATGCTTCTTTGCGACAATGTGGGTGCAATTTTCATGAGTAAAAATCCGCTCATTAGCACTCGATCCAAACATATTGCTTTAGATCTTCACTTTATTCGTGAACAAGTCGAAATAAGAGCACTAAAAATTTGCTATATCTCATCGGTTGATCAGTTAGCTGATATATTCACCAAGCCATTGTCAAAGGATCACATTCATCTTCTTCGAACCAAGCTTCAAGTACGTTCCATCCTTGAGCTTGCCGGGGGCTAATAACCACATGTTCAACATGACAATGAAGTGTTTAAAATAGTTTACCTAGTCTTATGTATTTTGTTTCTTAGTGTCGTATACTTAGACCTTATTTTCCTTTCTCACTGTATGTATATAACTGTACAATTTATGTATTAACGACTCAAGGAAATCATTATACGATTGCTACTGTGTTCTCTTATCGTATATGACATGGTATCACACATAAGCATCCGAGGCATGTGACACAAATTATTTGGGAAAGAGGCCACAGCCCCGGCAAAAATTAAATTATTTAGGGTTGCGATATATTGAAATATGTCGAATTAATATATATATATATATATATATATATATATATATATATATATATATATATA